TTTTTTTTAAATGTTTTTGAAAGAAGTCTCTTATGCTCGCCAAGGCTGTATTTATTAAAATAAATACAATTATTACAAATATTACAATTTAAAAGAACTGTTTAAATACACATGAATACACACACACAAAAGTTAAACACCAGTGGTTACTTTGCTAGGACGCCTGTGTGAACTCAAAGGAACTGACTTTATACAGATCTTCCACTAAAATCGCCTAGTGACCAGTTAATTGAAAAAATGGGTAAGAAAATACTTTCTTGGAGTCACTGTAAATTCGATGATCACTTCTGCAGCTCTCGGAGACATTTGTCTACACGAGTGATTCCACAGTCACAGTGGAGGACTGGCGAGGCCTCTTCCTCATGTGCAGATGTGTGTCTGTGTATGCGTTCTCTTACCGCACCATCTGCTTTGCCAATGGGTGAGTTCAGGTTGAAGTCAGGAGGAGCAATCACATCAACCAGCGCCACAGCATCATCCTTCAGCTACACAGAGAAAATGAGAGGGCACCTGCTATGTTAAAACCTTCCTGATGTTTGTATCATCATGCATTTATAAGAGAGGGTGTCTGTAACTGAACTACTGCTAAAACAACACTAACCTGCCCACACAGAGTGAGAATGGCTGTGTGGAAGAAGTCAACCGGCTGTCGACCAGAAAAATAACCTCCTAAAAACAAACAGACCATAATGAAACTCCAAAAAACGTCAAAAAGTTATACTAGCGTTCAAAAGTTTGGGGTCGATAAGATATTTTGGTAACACTTTATTTTGACAGTCAGTCCAACTATAGGCATTCTGCTGACTGTAAGTAACTTTGCAACTCAGTGTCAACTACCAGTCATTAGAGTTTTAGTAGACTGTCTGCTTAATATCTACTGACACTTTATTTTGATGGTCACACATTCTCTTTGCAATTACATCAACTGATTCTACTATCCCTAAGCCTAACTTTACAGTCTACTAATACTCTAATGACAGTTAGTTGACATGTAGTTGCAATTTATAGTTAGTAGAACGGAACTTATAGTAAGAGAAGATACAGTTAGTAGAATGTCTGAAGTGGACTATGAGCTCATGAATTGATTTTTTTGTAACAATTTATGATATGGTTCCCTTTGAACATGAACTAACAATGAAAAATACTTCTAAAGCATTCTTTGTTAATGTTAATGTCAACATTTACTAATACATTATTCAAACCTAAATTTGTGTCTGCTAGTATTATTTAATGGACTTGTGCTAACATGAACTAACAACAATCAGTTGTATTTTTATTACCTAATGTTAATAAAGAATAAGTATTGTAACAAATGTATTGTTCATTGCTAATGTTAGTTATTGCATTAACTAATGTTAACCAATGGGGCCTTACTGTAAAGTGTTAACATTTTTTATGCTCATCAAGGCTAAATTTATTTGTTAAAAATAGTTAAAACAGTAACGTTGTGAAATATTATTTCATTTTAAAATAACTGGTTTCTATTTGAATATATTTTAAATTGTAATTTGTTCCTGTGAATAAACTTTCAGCAGCAATTAATCCAGCCTTCAGTGTCACTTCATCCTTTAGAAATCATTATAATATGCTGATTTGCTGCTCAACAAACATTTCGTATTATTATCAATTATCAAGGTAGTGTATGTAAAGGCTACATGGCATTTAAAATTGGAAGTGTTTTGAAAACACTAGACATCATACACTCGCAGACTTTGTAAATAGTTACAGAGGAAAAACTGGACATCATACACCAATCACAGTCTTTCAAGTCGTTTCAAACACAAACTCGAGCAGAAACACATGCCCTGTTGCTAGGGGACTTTTGATAAAAGTGAAAACAATATGTGTTCTAATATCGACTCAAAATATCAAATGTATCGACTGGATTTAATCACAGTCTGAAAAAAATAAATAAAAAATCTGAGTCTGTGCCCATCATACACTACACTACAACTCAAATCTGCAGACTGGCTCTGACTTTTGCCAACTGGTGACAATTTGTCCAGACTGAAAATAAGGGCAAAAATCTAGGCAAAAGTCGTGTAGTCTATTCAAGCCTTAACACATAATTTGTGTCACATAGCCAGTACTGGCAGACATGAATGAAAAAACAAAGAAACCACCGCAGAGAAGAGTGGTTTACCTTGATACAGGATGGCCATGTGGTTGGTGAGGGTCCACAGGCCATAGAGAGCAGCTGGAGTCTGTTCATCCTGAATCAGATGATGGAAACGCTGCTGCACTGTGTGCTCAATATAGGCAATAGCCAATGAGCGACAATAATACACCTACAGAGAGAGATAGAGAGAGAGAGAGAAGTTACAGGAAAAAGTGAATCCAAGGACACAAACTCAAACATATACTATATCTACCAAGAGTGTTTATGGAGTCAAGGGACAAATGAAGACAGTTTGACCCACATAATCACAAGCCAGGTCATGACAGCACAATGACAGTCATGACACACAGACGAGACACCAATTGGGTTGTTAATAGAGGGGGAAAAAATTAAACGAAAAAAAAAAACCTTCAAGACCTTAGCAATGTGCTTGTGTTTGTGTCTGGTTGCTAGACAGTGATTCTCTGTGTTTGGTGGTTGCTGGGTCAGTATTATGTGTGAAGAAGGTCTGTTTTATTAATTTTTCTCTTGTCCTCACTGCAGGTTTTAAGACAGTTTAATCATGGTCACATACTGTAACCTGCTCGATCACATTCTGTTCCCCCTATTCTTGTTCATGTCTCCAAAGTGCTCTAGTTAAACACACTCTCACATCTCAAGGTGGAGGTGCTTACCAGACAGTGTCCAAGCTCCACTCATTATATCATACGACCTTTAAGTGACTGCTTGTTTTTGGCTGGACTAGAACCTCATAACACACACACACACACACACACACACACACACACACACACACCCATAGTGAGCATTTGAACACACACCCACACACCCATAGTGAGCATTTGAACATTTAAGCTACATTTTTAAAAAGTATGTCATGGCATTAGACAAAACGAAATACCAAAACCAAATGGAATTTATTTGAAAGGAATGAACACTTTTAAAAACAAAATTCACACACACACACACAAAAAAAAAGTTTCTTTTTGAAATGGTAAATGTTTGTGTCCAAATAATTTTCTAGGTCACTGGATGTACATGTGGTGTAACTGCTGTGTTTCATTACTGTGCTGAGGTCAGATTTGGTCCAACCGTGATACTTTCATATCATCAGAAGCGTGATGCGAGCAGCTTTCACACATCCTGCACGTGATTCTGACCCTACGGAGCACATATAAGGGTCTAAATGAATCTGATATGGCAGAAAGGATTTAAATCCTTCAAGATGTGAAGGTCAGACAGCGGCCCTTTGAAATGCTCAGTGTGATGTAGATTTGTAGCTCAGTGGAATAGATATTAAGTAAGGGATATGTCTGAGCCAAATGTCTGTTCAATGTTTAAGACGTGTCTGAGCAACCAGAGGTCTGTTTTATATTAGATATAAGTCATAAACGGAACGTCACTGTACAGAAGTTATTAATGGGAAGCCTTGGGTGCACTATCCCCATATTTCAGCCTGATACTAAAATATTAACAAAAACAACATTCTATGCACCCATGAATAACAACAGTAACATCTACATGGTGAAACATGATTCTTGAATGGATATACAATATATAGTATATCATAACTTTAACTTTTAGTCAAAATTCTTTAATACAGTCTTTAAGGACAACACTAAAGAACTAAGCATTTACAGCACGTGTCTATGGTTGTCTAGGGTGAATTCAGGTAAATTGGCCCAGCTTTTGACATGAGATGACTGGCCTATATACAGTAGATTAACACTGTATGGTTTTGAAAAACATTAACAGAAATGTGTATATTGAATTAACAGTCAGAAGGCCTGTAAAGGTGTTTATACACAGAGTGATAATTGGTAATGGTAAGAAAGAGAGAGAAAAAAAATATACTGTTCAAAAGTTTGGGGTTAGTAAAAAAAATGTTATGGTCTCTTAACTAGTTGCTTATTAGCATGCATATTACTAGAATATTAGCCATTTATTAGTAGTAATTAAGCACATATTAATGTCTTATTTTACATGACCTTATTCTACATCCCTAATCCTACCTAATACTTAAACCTAACAATTAACTTACTAACTATTAATAAGCAGCAAATTAGAAATTTATTGAGAGAAAAGTCGTAGTTAATAGTGAATAAGTGTTCCCTATTCTAAAGTGTTACCAAAATTAGATAGCTATTAATCAGAGATTCCTGCCAAAATATATCATGGTTTCCAGAAAAATATTAAGCAATCATTTTCAACATTGATAATTAAAATAAATGTTTTTTTGTTGTTGTTGTTTTGTTTTTAGCACAAAATCAGCATTACAATGATTTCTGAAGTATCATATGACACTAAAGATTGGCATAATTGACTGCTGAATATTCAGCTTTGTCATAACAGGAATAAACTACATTTTAAAATATATTCAAATAGAATAAAGAATATTAGATTATTAAAATATATACAATTTTAAATTGTCATAATATTTCACAATATTACTGTTTTCACTGTATTTTTTATCAAATAAACACAGGTTAGCATAAGAGATTTCTTTTAAAGACATTAAAAAATCTTACTGACCCTAATCTACCAGTAAATTTTTTGGAACATTTACAGACATTACTTTCAACCTAAAACACTACACAATGCAATGCGTAATTCAAAATATGGGTAAAACACCTGTAAAAATGTGTGCGTGAGTGTGTGTGTTTTGCTTAAAGGGATAGTTCACCCAAAAATGAAAATTTGATGTTTATCTGCTTACCCCCAGGGCATCCAAGATGTAGGTGACTTTGTTTCTTCAGTAGAACACAAACGAAGATTTTTAAGTCAAACCGTTGCAGTCTGTCAGTCATATAATGGAAGTGAATGGGAATCACGTCTTTGAGAGTAAAAAAAACATACACAAACAAAACCAATTTAAACCCTGCGGCTCGAGACGATACATTGATGTGTAAAGACACGAAACGATCGGTCTGTGCAAGAAACTGAACAGTATTTATATAATTTTTTTACCTCTTATACACCGCAGTGTCCAACATCCGGCACGTGTACGTGCTCTGGCATAGTAGACATCAGTGTTGGGCAGTAACGCATTACTTAGTAACTGTAATTTGATTACTTTTTTAGTAACGGAGTAATTTAACAAGTTATAATTTTCAAAATAGTAATTAGAGTATAGTTACAAGCCGAGGTCTCTATACGTTACTGCAGCGTTACATTGCTGACAGAATGCAGTGTTTTATAATCTAGAGATTGTAAAAAGGATGTAGCACACGCACTGTCGAGTCCAGTGCCAGTGGATTAGAGACCTGCTCCCACGAGACCCAACGTAACAGCAGCGCGGGACAAGATGGGCGAGTGCTGGTGCGGACGGGTAGACGCTCGTGTGTGTGCGGGATGCGGGAGAATAAAATGATTCATGGGACTCCCGCAAAATAGAAATATCTAAACATAAAATATCTAAAAAAAAAATAAATTGTTATGCATCTATTGCACAAAAGCAACATGAACTAATATAAAATATAAACGATTAACAGGTGCAAGCGTATGCAGAGCTTCTATTTAGGCTATTACACGTGTTTGCAGCGTTGTGCAATGCAGTGCTGAAATTTGCGTGCTCACGAATCCTCTCATTATAACACACGAATTGTAGACATTATGAACACCGTGCGTCCTAACGCCGCATTACCAAACCGGAAGTCTTCGTGTTCTGTGAATGTTGATGCTTTAATAACAAATATTTATCGGGAGCGTGTATGCTGGGATTTCATACATTTCATGGAGAAAAAAGTAACGTAACTAGTAAAGCAACTAATTACTAATTACTTTTGAAATTAAGAAATCAGAACAGTAACGTGATTACTTTTAAAAGGAGTAATCAGTAATCAGTAATTTGATTACATTTTCAGAGTAACTTGCCCAACACTGGTAGACATAGATATATATAGGTATATACAGTGGTGTGAAAAAGTGTTGGCCCCCTTCCTGATTTCTTATTTTTTTGCATGTTTGTCACACTTTAATGTTTCAGATCATCAAACAAATTTCAATATTAGTAAAAGATAACACAAGTGAACACAACATGCAGTTTTTAAAT